TTCAGTTTGTAAATTCCAAAAGGATTACAAAAACAAAACGCAAAATTCTAACCTTATTTTTGGAATTTTTATCCGCTCTCGTTATTGTGGCTTTGCCTATATTGAAAATTCCACGACCATTCTTCCCGCCGGTTCCTCCAACACCCAATCCGCCTTGCATCCGTCTCGCCCCATAAATGAGAGAACCCAAGAGCAATAAAGTTGGTGCAAACCTCATGATCTCTTGATACCAGAGCATTTCAGAGACATAGGTGACAGGAACATATTCGTGAGGATCAACACCTAATGCTTCTTGGGCTTCTTCGAGTTTCTCCTCAAAAGAGTCAACACTACCAATGTTGAAGTAGTACTTATACTGACCACCACGTTTTTTAGAAGGAATTCCATTACCATTGCCAACAACGTCTTCAGTTGTTTGTTGGCTTCTTGGTGAGCTTCTCACATAGACTTTTGCTACTGATTTGTTTGAAACATCAATGTGGTCAACTAGACCAGGCTCAAGAAGTTTGTTTTTGAACTCTTGGAAACTAATCTGAAACAAATAGGTACGATAGCCCCAGATATTAGTGGAAAACAAACAAGCAAGGCCAAATCAGCAGTTCCATAGACATCAAAAAGTGTAGTTTGAACCTGTTGCTGGTCTCCAGAGCCAAACGAGAAAGAAGAAAAGAACACAGCAAGAGCTAGCAGAGGAATTAGCAAATTTTGGAATCGATTCATAAACATATCTCCCAAGTTCTCATTTTCATTCTTCTCTGAACCTTCTGTATTGCAAACAAAAAACATATTTAATTATTAGAATCCTTCAGTAGCACCAACAGGTCTCCAAACAAGAAAAGTAAAAGAAACAAAGAAGTAATGCTATTGGATATATTCAAAAGCAAGGTTGTTATAGAAACGACATGAGTGCCTTTTAAAAAAAAATTCTATTTAGCTAAACAAATATTCAACAAAGCTAGGTTATTGTCATCGTTGAGAATCCAGACTGCGGTAAATGGATAAAAAAGTGGCGGAGATTTTTCGAAATTCCCAACACATAAGCGGCTATCTCTCAATGGAGCAACAAGAGACGTCTCGGGCCATTGCATGTAAAACTACTAACACTCTTGTTGATCAGTCATCTAATTGAGTAAACAGTTAACAAATTCAATAATCCGACAAACAAAATCCAATGGTCTACTCACTTTCCGCTGCAAACAAACACTGTTTTTGTAAGCTGTATTCGCATTTTGCAAAATGAAAAAGGGATACGTTAAGAGTAAAGGATCACAAATGAGACCTCATATATTCATTTAGACTAAAACTTAAAAAGCAAAACAGTCTACAAGATAATTGGAATCCAAAATAAATTCCCAAATCAGGAATACCTTTAGAGTCGGATTTCTGGTCGCTCTTGGGTGCTTGCTTTGTATCTTTAGGAAAGTAGTTCTCATAATCTACAAACATCGAAAGAGAAAAATGAGAACACATTTGATTAAAATTTAAAGGGGTTTGTAGCAACATACTCTTCTTCTTGGGAGCTTCGTCAGAGAAGAATCGACGAATTCTCGGATTAGCGAAAACACCCGTCAAATCATTGTTGACAAGACCCTTCCGAGCAGCTAATGAAGCAAAGTGTCGCCTCAGAAACCCTAATCCACTTTCCACTTGACTAACCACCGACGCCGTCTCAAGAGCCGGCGGAGCAAGTAGTCTAGCCGATCTCACACCACCACCGTAAATCAATCCCTAATTTCACCCCAAAAAAAAAAAAACACACTACAGAATCAGAAGGCAACACAAATTTAACGACGAATCTGACAAGAAATGAACAAAAGAAAACAGACCCTTGAACGAGAGGACTGAAAGATGGAGCGACCAAGCTTTGAGAATATCATTGTCATATACAAATTCACTACCAACAAAAGGGATTTCGCATAATATTTAGATAAGAAATGGGAAATCCAAAGAGAGCAAAATGCAAAC